TTTTTCTTTCTTCATCAAATACTACCGTCAATATTCTATTCTATTTTATCCCGTTTTATTTTACTCTACGTTACTCTACTTTATTTTACTTTTATCAATATTTTATTCTATATTATTTTAATTTACTTTATTCATTTACTTATTTATTTATTTTTTTTGCTAACCTGCATACCGTAACAGAGGGTAAAATTTTTTGGTATCGGAATACACTTGTTGGCTGATGGCCGATCCGACGAATACATCACAAACGAATCGGAAACATACGGATTACAATCAGCCGGAAATAACAGCAACCAGAGCAGCACGAGGAAAGTCATCTTTGACACTGAACTCATTGCAAAGTCAAAATTCTTGGAAACATCGCGCCGCCCATTGCTTAGTTGGCGCCCCTATCATCATCATCACCACCATCACCATCACCATCACCAACACCGACATCATCATCAACACTAACATCATCATCATCATCCTCGTCATCACAACCACTATTAACATCATTATAATTATCATTATCATCATTAAAAACATTATCATAACATCAACTCAAATTTTTCCGCTTTCTGTTGTTTTCTGTTTCCTTTTTTTTTTTTGACAACGACATTTACTACCAATAGTCAACGAGTTTTGTCTTTTATACAGTACTAAGACTACTAATAAAAACGATAAAACGATACCGATTAAATAGCAAAACAAAGCTATAGTTATCTGGTTGCAGTTGGTATTATTTATTTAAAATGTAAAAATTTCAACTATGGTTACAGTAAAAAAAAGTAACTGCTTAACAATATTGGTTGAAATTAAATTTATTACAGTGTTTCTTCTTCCAATTTAATGCTTAGTTTTTGTCTTTTACTTCGACTAATTTTTGCAAAACTTTATTGGGCAAAAAAAAGTCACTGTTAATTTTATTTCTGCGTAGCTGAGACATAAGTTTCACAAAACTGTAACAAAAAGTGGTTTTTCTTCCTTTTTTTTTTTCCCATTTTTTGTTTTTCATTTACTTAACTTCTGTGAAAATTTTGTATTTAAAAAAGCTGTAAATATATATTTTACAAATTGAGAAGCAACAAAAAAGATTTTAAATGAAAATAAAGAAGGCTAAAAAAAATAGGAAACCAACAGTGGACTGACAGTCCGGCAATATCCCATCTCAACGTTTACCGTTAAGAGTTCGACGCGGTAAAATCGACATTCTCCAGTTGCGGTTACTGAATTGCAGCCATACGGTTTTGTTTTCAGCTGTATCGGTCTTACGTACCTGAACAGTGTTGGAATCAATGAAACAGTGTAATGATGTACCGAGATGATCCTGGCAGATTAGTTTAGCCTAATGAATGATGAACAATAAAAACAAAAACGGGAACAACAACAACAACAACAACAACAACAACAACAACAACGACAGCAACACTGGTTTAATTGTGGGTAAAAAGTTATGAGTGGAAGAAGCTTGAAGCTTCAATATTTTTTTGAGTAAATTTGTTGCAACTAAGTTTCGGAGCTACCAAAACATACAGTTTTTATCACAGGAATTCTCAACAGCCAATTTTTCATAAGTTGTCGGTGCTTTTGTTGGTGTTCCCGAATCAAAGCAAAAAATATTTCATTGTAATTTGCGTCGACATTATTAATTTTCTAGCTATTTCCCTTTTACCAGACGCTTTTGAAACCGCCAAATTTATTTTCTAAATTTTTTGAAGGTGTGTGTTTGTGTTTTTTTTTTTTTGCTTTTTTTTTTTTACTTGTTTTTCTCAATTATCTTTGATATATTGTTAGTCTTGTGCAAATCAGAAAAAAAAAAAGAAAAAAAAGAGAAAATAAAAAAAGTGAAAAAACATTGGCTTTTTTCTTCTTTTCAACGACAACTGCAGTAGCAGTAGTAACAGTAATAACGGCATAAGGTCAAAATCACAAAGGATGAATATGGTTTAAAATTAACCTTATTCTCAGATGTCTTTACTTCAACAGTTGGTTCGTCTTAAAAAAAAAACTTAAAAATGAAAATAATAATGATCAAACAAATGCAACAGTTACAACAAACAAAAAAAAAAAATTAAAAACCAAAAAACAGTTGATTACTGTTACTGTGTTTAATTTGTAAAAAACACTTTTTAAATCTTTTTGTTTATACTAATTGCTAACCAAAATTAAACGGCATATTCAAAGAAAAAAATTTGGTGTTTAAAACCCTTGTAAAGCAACAGTCACCAGCAACGAACCGAAAATCTGCTATTATACCTCTGTCATTTATCACTATGCTCTTCAAATTATTGTAATGTTGTTTGATTTTTATCTTTCATCTTTTTTTTTTTTTCTTTTTCAAATTATTATTTATCTAACTTCACACTCATTTATCAGTCAAAATTTGAAGTTTCAC